AAAAAAGAAAAGTTGAGGTTAAGAGAGAATATTAGGAGCGGGAAAGGCAAGCAGAGACGAGGGACGGTAAGAAGTAAAGGCGGAGATAGAAAAGGTAAGACAGAGATTAAAGGTGAGATCACGAGTAGAATTAAAGAGACGAATTAAGGCGTACGCGATAGTGATGTAAAGATTTGTGATAACAAAAAAATTAAGAGATAAAGATGGAAGGATGGATAAGAATGGCCCAGAGAAAGAAAAGAAGAAAAGAGTAAAGGTGATGAGGGGAAGAGAGAGCGGAGAGAGGCAAAAATGGATAGAGAAAGTAGGATAAACAATATAATAGTGACAGACTTAGAGGGTGGGTTAAGATGGGAAGAGAAGGGTGAGGCAGAGGACTGGTTAAGAGAGGAACTAGAAATGAATGAGGAGATAGTGAATCTGAGAAGAACAGGAGAGACAGCGGGGAGGGATGGTCCGAGAGAAAGAGGAAAAAAGATGTGGCAAATTAGAAGCGTTTCATGGGAAAAAAAAGAAGGAATCATGAAGAGGAAAAAGAAGCTGGGGCAGAAAAAGATCTTTATAGATCAGGACTGGACGCGGAAGCAGAGGAAGATAAGAGAGGAAGTAAGAAGGAAAGCAAGAGAAATAAAAGGTAAAGGTAAAGAGGTAAAGATATGGAATAACGGGTTGAAGTCAGAAGAAGAAGAATGGTGGTGGAGCGAGAAAGAGGGAATAATGGTAGGAAAAAGGGGGAAGGGTTTCGAAAACAATAGGGATAAAAGAGAGAGAGGAGGGAGGGGTGAGAAAGGAAAGAGAGGCAGTAAAGATACTATTCTGGAACGTGGCAGGGATTAGAAGCATGAAGGAAGACGACTGGGAATATGTTAGGGAATTCGATATAATAGGGCTAACCGAAACCTGTGTGAAGAGGCAAGGGGCAAAAACTGGGGTAGAAAAGCAACTGAATGGGTATAACATAGAGTGGAGAGACTCAAGAAGGGAGGGAAGAAGGAAGAGAGAAATAGGGGGAGGAATAATGGCGGTAAGAGAGAGGAAAGGAATGAGTAAGGTTGAATGGAAGAAAGAAAGGACAAGTGAGATAATAGCAGGAAAAATAAAGATCGGAGGGAGGAAATACATGATAACAACGGTGTATATGCAACATGAGAAAAAGGAAAACTATGAATACTTAAGCGAAGAGAGGGAGGAGAATAGAGGAAAAACAATAATTATAGGAGGAGACTTCAACGCAATAACAGGAAATGAAGGGAGAGAATGGGAGACAGAATAAAACCTAGAAGAAATAAAGGTCATGGATAAATTGTTAAACGCAGAGGGAGAAGAAATGGTTAAATGGCTAGGAGATATGGGCTTAGTGATAACGAATGGGAGAAAAGAAGGAGATGAAGAGGGAGAAATAACATATATAGGAGCGAGAGGAATGTCAACGATATATTATATAGTAGGTAACGAGGAAGGTGATAGGGCAATAAAAAGGTTTTAAATAAAAGACAGGGTAAAGTCAGACCACTTACCAGTAGAAGTGGAATTGAGAGACAAAATAGCAGAAGAAAGAAAAGAAGAGGAAGAAAGAATGGTAGACGACTGGAGCGAAGAAAGTATAAGAGAGTATCAGATGGATAGATGCAATAGAGGGAACTCAAAAATGGAAAGATATAAAAAGTAGCATGAGGAACGCAGTCGTGAAAAAGAAGATAAGGAAAAAAAAGGATCAAAAAAAGCTGGTGGAGAGAAGAATGTAGGATTTTTCTTTTTCTATTTAACGTCGCTCTATTGATGCTCCATCAGTGCTAATCAGCGACGAAGGCTTGCAATGTGTTTGAGAACAAAGCACATGAAACTTTTTTCAGTGATGCTTGTATCAATCAATAAGCAGGGAGTCGCCCTACCGTCCGAGCCATTGCAGGCCTCTAAATGTAGGATAAAAAGGTCTACGATGATTGCAGAGTTAAATAAGATAAGAAAAGGAGAAAGAGATAGAGGCAAATACCTTGAATCAAAGAGAGAATACAGAGAGGAAATAAGAAAAGCGAAAGAATCGGAGGGGAAAAGAGTGGCAGAAGAAATAAGAAAAGATAAGAAAATTCTGGGATAAAGTGAATTGCAATAGGAAGAAAAGAATTGGATTAGATGAAAACATAGGAAAAGATGAATGGTTAAAGTACTTCAAGGAATAATTGGGAGAGAAAGAAAAGGAAGAACGCAAAGGGGAAGAAACCGAAGACAGCGAAGGAAAGGAAGGTGAAGAAATCAAAGTAAGAGAAGTAAAAGAGGTAATAAGAAAAATGAAAAATAAAAAGACGACAGGAGAAGATGGTATAGAAAACGAAGCGTGGATGGAAGGCACAGAGGGCTTGTTAAAAGATATGACAAAATGCTTAAACAGAATATGGAACGGAGAAGAATATCCGGAAGAATGGAGAAAGGGAATTATAGTACCAATATATAAGAAAGGAAGGAAAGAAGAAGTAGAAAACTATAGAGGAATAACGCTGATGGACACGGGATATAAAATATATGCGGAAATACTGAGGAAAAAGCTGGAAAGAGAACTAGAAGCTATAGAAACGCTAAGCGATACGCAGATGGGATTCAGAAAGAAAAGAGGAACAATGGACGCAATATATTTATTAAAAACAATAATAGGGAAGGAAATAAGGGAAAAAGGAGGAAAACTGTTTGTATTCTTTGCCGACATTGACAAGGCGGCTTTTGACAAAATAAAGAGGAAAAAATATGGGAAATAATGAAAGAGAAAGGGATAAATAAAAAAATTAGGAAAAGAATAGAACAAATATATAAGTAAACAGGGAGTAAGGTAAAAGTTGGAGAAGAAATAATTGGTGAGTTCGAGACTTACAAAGGCGTAAGGCAAGGGTGCCCTTTGAGCACCACACTATTTAATCTTGCCTTCGCCGACCTGGAAGTCAAGATCAAACAGGTGCAAGAAGGAGGGGTAGTGATAGGAAGGAAGAAAATATGGACATTAGGATATGCAGATGATATAGTGATGATGGCAAAGAGTGAAAGTGGAATGAAAGCAATGCTGAAAAAATTAAAAAGGTACCTTTAAGAAAGGGGATTAGAGCTAAATGTAGGAAAATCAAAGAAGATGAAATGCAGGAAGGGAGGAGGAAGGGGAATGGAAGAAGAATTCGAATGGGAAGGTGAGGAAATAGAGATGTTTAAAGAGTACAATTACTTGTGATATATGATATGCAGAAATAACGGAAATAAAAAGCAGATAAAGAAGGTAGAAGGGAAAATAAATATGGGACTCGGAAGACTATGGGGGCTAGGAGAAAAACTATTTAAAGAACATTGGGAGCTAAAGATGAACTTGTTCGATGCACTGGCGAAAAGCGTCATTATGTATTGAGCAGAAATCTGGGGATGGAAGAGATATGAAGAAATAGAGAGTTTACAACTAAAATACATAAAGTGGGTATTGGGATTAGATAGAAACATGCCAAGTTACTTAATACGACGGGAAACAGGAAGACAAGAAATAAAAGAAACAGCATTAGAAAGAGTAATGAGGTATGAAAACAAAATAAGAGAAGAAAAAGATAGCTCAATAAAAAAAGAATCATGGAGAGAATTAAAGAAAAGGGAAAGAAATGAAAAGGATAAAAAGGGTAAGAAGGAGGAGAGAGAGAGGAAAGGCTAGAAAAAAGTAAAATATACAGGGAGAGAGAGGAGGGAGACGAAATGAGAGAAGAGTTTTGGGAAGAAATAAGAGAAGATCTAAAGAAAAAAGAAGAAAAAGAACTAGACGAAAAGCTAGAAAAGTCAAGATATATAAACGAGTAGAAAGAACTGAAAGAAGAAATGAAAAAGTACAGATTAAAGGAAATTCAAGGAGTGGGAAGAATAAAACGCCTACAAATAAGGGAAAGGTTAGGTAATGAAACGAGAGAAAGCAGGTATTGGGAAAAAGAAGAAAATAAGAGATGCAGAATGTGCATGAAAGAGGAAGAAAACTGGAAGCACATAGTAGAAAAATGTGATAAAAGCAAAAAGGATTGGGAAGAATGGGAAAAAATAATAATAGGAAGCAAAGAAAATATAGCGTGGACGATGAACCTAAAATGGAAAAGAAAAAGAAACAATGAGGAGAAAGAAAAAGAAAAACAAGAAGACGAAATTTCAAGACCCTATGGATAGAAGGAAACAGAAGACAGAGACGCAAGACTCGCAGACACATCTACATACGCAAACATACACACAAAACACAAGTACTAGCAACTACACAAGTGAGAGGAAGCAGGTACTGGATGCGGGAGTAAAAATGGAAAAGAAAAAGAATCGAAGAAGAGAAAGAAAAAGGAAAACAAGAAGACAAATTATAAGATACTAAAGAAAATAAGTGAGGTTGAGGAAAGGAATGGCAGAGGGAGCAATAGGAAATGAGAAAAAGGTGTCAAAGCTCTAATAAGGAGAAATACTAGCTCTAATAAGGAGAAATGATTAGCAAGAAAGAGAGCAAAAGCAAAGTAAAGGCAGAGGTGAAAAGGCAAAAGAAAGCAACAAAGGAAGAAGTCGAAAAGAAAATAAGCAAGAAAGAGAAAAACAGAAGAGCGGAAAAGGTAGATCTCGGAGAGAGAGAGAGGAAGAGAAGATTAATCAACAGAAAAATGGGAAGTAAAGCTGAACAGACAGGAGCAGAAGACAGGGACATAAGATTTGCAGACACACCTACATACGTACACATATACACAAAACACACACACATACACATACAAAACACATACATTATCAATTATGCAAACTGGACACGAGACACAATTTTAATGTAAGAAATGAAAACCAAATCTGACATATAAGTTGTAAATAAATAAACTTACTAACATATGTAAGATAAGATAAACATAATTGTTTTGCGAGTACTGCTATATATCTGCTAATATATCAGTAACAAAGGAAAAAAACATTTATTTGGCGGTTTCTGGAAAGAAAAAATAAGCGTTATATTTTACATTTTTTTACTGAATAGATAAATGTTTTTTTTTGGACATTTTAATTTTCTAAATAACCATAAGAAAATATATTAATTATTCTCTGCGCAATTCTTATAAACACGAAGATACTTCTCTGTAAGAGATTATTGTACAATACTTCTAATTTAAATTTAGTATTTTAGTTTGTAAGATATTTAAAGTTTATAATTTTTGTATTATTTAATATGCAAAATTTATTTATGGATATCCCTTGAAAATTAGTGAACATTAAATAAGTATGATTTATAAATTGACTGGAAACTTGTATTATATTTGCATATTTAAAATTAGAAACTTCTGAAGCTCATTTTCGTGATCAAATTAGCATTATGATTGAGTATACATACTTTGCTAATTTTAAAAACATATTGAAAAAGGCACGACATAAGCTATATGTAACTTTTAAAAATCGTTCCAGTTCAGTTGCTATCATTGTTAATATCATTTACTGTACCAGTAATCTCACAGAGACTTGTATATGTGCCAGTCAATAAGCCTAACACTCCAAAACTGATAATCATAATATTTTTCCAAAGCTTCCATTTGAAGCGACCAAGACCCCTTTCTTGCTCCCATACAGTTACAAGCTCAATAACTGATGGAAACATAAGTCCAAGAGTAGAAAGACAGAGAGCTCCGACTAGTGAAATAAAGGGGCCAAGGTTGGGAATAGCGATTGCCATCCCTACCGTAAACGTTACTAAAATTATTCGTAATATATATTCAGCTATCAACTTGTGTGATCCAAAATAGCCTTTCACGTTCTTCCATATTATTTCCATTGGCACATAAAACTGGAGACCATATGTAAAAAAAATAGCAGCAGCGATCATAAGTTTAACAGCTTGTGCTAGAGGGTCGTCTTCAGGTAAATTTAATGTGATTGAACCTTTTGTTGTTTGCTGATATTTGAGATATCCAAAGAAACCAACAGTACTGTATAAAGAGATCACAAAAAACATTCCAATGTTTAATACTCCAGGGCAACCAATAAAATGAGTTGGAGTCTTCATGTTATTTTCAAGCGGCATCACCTGTAATAAGAATTAATATACGTTTAAATGTATTCTCTATTAAGCTAAAAATAATGATAATGATTCATTTTTTGTATAGGACACAAATATAAATTATTAAGTATTTAAATATAGCACAGTAAGACGTTTAAGTATACAAACTTCAATTATTGTAGTCAAATAGAAATAAGATATTAATTTTTTAGATTTAATGTCTAATCTGTTAACAATAGTAGCAATAATCTTCAGGTAATAGAATCGTTTACACAAAAAATGTTTACTTAAAAATTATAAAATGTATTGTATTCGTTAATATTGTTCTTAATCGGCGTGGGCAAAGAAAGAAATAAATCAAAACCTTTAATTAACAGATTTGTTGATCTCTTTAGAACTTTATTGTCAAAAAAATAGTGAAACACTGATTGTAATACAATAGTACATGATAATTAACAACAATTTACAAAATAAACATCCAAAGATACTGTGATCAGAACAAATATATGTTGTCAACTAGTTTTACGAATGCAATCCCATCTACCAAATTAAAATATATTGGTTTTTTAATAGCAATATTAGCAAAAAATAGTATAAAAATTATTTAAAGAATAATTAATAATTAATTGAGAATAAAAAAATTTTTAAATATGAAAAATATATTTATCGGTTATTTCTTATCAACTTATCATAGAAAAACTGACCGTTATACCGTTAAACCACGGATGACTTACTGATGAAGTTATAAGCTAGTAACCCATTTTCTTAATTGATAAAATTATTGCTTTCAAGATGGGTTTCCATACGAAATTCTTCTTTGTTTCAATTGTTGAGTCTAGACTTTCGAAACTTTCCACATATATTGTTGTTTCAAAAAAATTTACGCCCGTTTTTGAATACATTTGAATATTTAAAAAAAATTTTAAGTTTACTTTATTTTTATATTCAACTATGTTCGCGTCATTTGCGCTTCGAGAATAAGAGAGACAGAAAAAAAAAGAGAAAGGGGGGGTACCGAGCCTCACCTGAGGGCTTTTTGCTTTTTATGTATTTGAACCTATTGAATTTCGAGAGTAGCATAACTAAAAATCAAGAGATAATTAGTTATGAACAATTTAATTGTTTAAATGTCCAGAAATGATTTATTAAATGTGTTATTAATATTTTGAAAACAGTGACGTAATCTTTTTGTAATAAGGAATCCACAGCTTTTTCGTTTTCATAAATCTCAAAATCTTAATAAACTTATACCCTTTTTAATAGAACCTGGACATCCGCAACAGAGATCGAAGTATAGACATTAATTAGTGGACACAGTTGAGTAAGGTCCTAATTCCTTGAAGCGTATTTTATGGACGGATCAATTTACTTTCAGGCGAATCGACATATTCAATCAATACAACGAATATGTGTGGGCTCATGAAAATAAATTTGCGGTGCAAGAAGGTATGTTTACATATTATAATCTTCTAATATTTTCGTCGCAATTTAGACCGTTCACAATGTATATCTGGTGTCAATCGTAATTGAATGATGGGACCATTTCGTCTATTGGGACACCTCAATTCTGATGTGTACCTCAACTTTCTGCAACATGTTCTGCCAGATCTTTTAGATGACGTTCTGATGCCAGAAGAGATAGCAAATATCATTTTTATACATAACGGAGCTCCAGCTCACTTCATGCAACCTTTCCGGGATCACATCAGCTAAGTAATTAATTACTGTTTGATTTTTATTCATTTTGAAAAAAGTATACATTTTTAGATATTTTTAGTCTTATCCTGAGTGGATAGGCCGTCGTGGTACCGTAGAATGGTCAGCACGTTCGGCTGACCATAATCTTTTAAATATTTATGTGCGGAAAACGTATGAAAAGAGGCCATTTGTTATAATAATGCACCTGCGACTGCCGATGAATGATAGCAATTTGTGCAAGAATGAGCCGAAGATGTAATATCCAATCAACTACATAGAATGACACTCCAAATATTAAGAAGATCTCTCCTATGTATAAAAATGAATATGGTCTATCTTTAATAATGTTTGAAAGCAGGGATAGCAGATGATTAAAAAGAGCTAGAAGATGTAGATGATGATGATGACAATCGAAACGAGTCAGACGATCAAAACGAGTCAGATTGGGACATAGGCGCATGAAAAAAGGTAATTTGTGCAAAATAAAATTAATGAAAAACTGCTGAAAAGGATCTAAACTTTGGATAAAAAACATTTTCAAATTGTCCTCAAAATCCAACATCGTGAAGTAGTAAAAATAGTTGTAGAAACATCGACTGTTTTACGACTTTTCAGTGACATTTCTATAACTTTTTTATGACTTTTTTTACAACATATGATTTTTCACGATATTTTTACGACTTTTCCATAGAAATCGTAAAAAAATCCTCCAAATCTCAAGACCAATTATCGAAAAGTCGTGAAAAAGTCATAGAAGAGTAGAAAATTCATAGAAAAGTCAATTTGAATAAATAAAACTTTTCTTATTTATAGTGATTATATAAGTTGAGGAACTGATCCGACATTTTCCTCCATTTTAGATCTAACTGTTTACGTTTAGTGAATATATGTTCTTTCCATGTAAGTGTTCGATCTCGGCGAATACTTAGATATTTTAATTGAATGCTTTACGGAATATATTTCTCGTTTAATAATTTAATAGAAGTACAGGTATTTTTTCGAAGTGTGAATGTTGTATGTATCGATTTACTTTCATTTACTATTGATCCCAAGGAGTTAAAGCAATTTTGAAGTTGATTTTTTATCGAGTTTTGTAACGAGTTTTGTAATATTTTGGTTGCTTTTGTTGCCTCTGGATGTACTGTTAAAATTGCTGTATCATCTACATACGAGGTGTGTTCAAAAAGTAAGGTGACTTTGTATTTTTAAGAAAAAATATTTATTTATTTATCAATATTTATGTTGTCCCCTTCAAAGTAATCCCCCTCAGATATAATACACTTATGCCAACGGTTTTTTCAATCCTCAAAGCACTTCTCATAAGCACTTTTGGGTATAGCCTTGAGCTCTTCCAGCGATGCAGTCTTTATCTCTTCAATCATTGCAAATCTCCGTCCTTTCATAGGTCTTTTTAGTTTTGGGAACAAGAAAAAGTCACATGGGGCCAAATCCGGTGAATATGGTGGCTGAGGCATGATTGTGGTGTTGTTTTTGGCCAAAAAATCTCTCACAAGCAAAGATGAGTGAGCAGGGGCATTATCGTGATGCAAAAGCCATGAATTGTTTTTCCACAATTCTGGGCGTTTTCTTCGTATTGCTTCTCGCAAACGGCGCATAACTTCAAGATAATACTGTTTATTGACCGTACGTCCATATGGTAAGAACTCCTGATGCACCACGCCATGGTAATCGAAGAAAACAGTGAGCAAAACTTTGACATTTGATCGAACTTGGCGTGCTTTTTTCGGTCTTGGCTCATCTGGGCTCTTCCATTGGGACGATTGGACTTTGGTTTCGATATCATAACCATATATCCATGATTCGTCACCAGTTATGACCCTTTTGAGTAAATCTGGATCGTCGTTGAAGTCATTCAACAGTTCTTGAGCGATGCTCATGCGACGGTTCTTTTGGTCAAAATTTAGCAATTTCGGAACAAACTTCGCTGACACACGTCTCATGGCTCAAAATTTCATGGCACGAGCCAAGCGATATACCAACATCCTTAGCAACTTCTCTGATAGTGATTCGACGATTTTCCAGAACAATTTTCTTCACTGCTTGAACGTTTTCATCAGTTGTTGACGTGCTTGGGCGTCCAGAGCGAGGCTCGTCATTGGCATCTTCCCGGCTATCTTGGAAGAATTTTTACCACTTGTAAACATTTTTTTTACTCAGAATATTTTCACCGTATGCCACTGTAAACATTTCAAGTGTTTCGGAGTACTTTATTTTATTTTTTACACAAAATTTGATGCAAATCCTTTGATCCATATTTTTCGATAGCAAGAAATCGCCGAGCACGCAAAACACTTATAACCTTTACGCCTCTCACAACCAAACAAAAAATGCTATACACTTGAAACTTGGTACAGATGTTCTTGAAGAGTGTACCAACATAACAAAACAAAAAAATCGATAATCGAAAGTACGTTGCCCGTGAAATTTGAAAAGTCACCTTACTTTTTGAACACACCTCGTATGTTGCTGTCAAGATATTAATAGACTTTGGTATGTCCAAGGTATATAACAGATATAGTATTGGATTTAGAACACTGTCCTGCGGTACTCCTGCTTTTATTAACTGACGTTTTGATACGTTTTCATTGATTTTAATTTGATAATTTCTATTGTGTAGATAAAACTGTAACATTTCGTAGTGGAGAAAGGAAAAAATCACTTAAGCTTGTGCAATAGCTCTTCATGCCGAACCTTGGCAAAAACTTGGACAACATCCTGAAATATACCAGTGCAGTATCGTTTATCTTCGATGGCTTTCATCGTAATAGATACTATTCTATTTACTTGCTCAATCGTGGTATGGTTACACCTGAAACCTAATTGATGATCAGGGATAAGTTTTCTATTTAGTATTAATTCTAACTAGAATTAACCCAATTAGTTTTTCAAAGATTATAGAAAGGGCTAATAAAAGGTTAATTAGTCTATATGACGTTACAAGTTCTGATTCTTCACCGGGTTAAAGTATTAAAACAATCTCTACTACTTTCCACTGGGAAGGAAAATAACAGAAACGCAAGCATGCATTAATAATACTTGTTAGATATATAAATGGGGGTAACATTTTGATCATTTTTTCTGAGATATTATCAAAATCGGGAGCTTTTCTATTTTTAATATTATTAATAATTTGTAATACTTCCTTTATTTTAATCGATTTGATTGGTGTACTGTCTTGGATGTCAGAGCCTTCTAGTAAGATTTCTTCTTCTTTTTCGGTGATTATTCTTTAGTGAGTCTTGAATACTGACCGGGTCGCGGCGAAGGTTTGGAGAGCTCTGTACGGCCTGCGTTTTGTTAGGCCGTGT